TATACAATCTGTTTCCCAAATTCAAATTATATAAATTCGGATTAATCCCGTAGTGTAGACATACCCTTGGAATAAACCTTGAAGCTTTTCATCAGTACTTACATTTTGTCGGTCTCCAGTTAAATGGGCGAACTCCACCATTTCATTTCCAAACTGACTGAATATTTGCACAAACTCTTGAAAACTACTCACTTTCTCTAGCTGTTCCATTGTTGCAAGAACCTGTAATATGTTGAAGAAAATAGTTATGATGGCTATTTGTAACCCGTAAAACTGCAGTAGAGTAAGATAAAATTCCTAAAAGTGTAGAAAGTGTTGTGCAGAAGCTTCTAAAGCAGATTTTCGTACGTTTACATATTAAGCTACATTTTATCTATTAATGAATAGTAATTATTTACTTTCTTAATTTCATCTTTAACAAAGCATTGCAATAAAACTGCTCCTTTAGTAAATGGAGAAGAAGGAAATTTGATTAACAAATGCTATTAGTTGAGAGACAGAGTGCTTGGATTACACAGATAAATTGGGTCATGTAGGACCATTATTTCAAGAGGTGTTAGAAATGAAGGAAGAGGTGGTAAAAAGCTCTTTTCTTGTAGATGGAAAAATATTTTAATCATTCTGTTTCACTCAAAATATGAGACCCATTTGTTCTGAAAGCCAACAAGGATAAACATTTTATAGTTCCTTTCCTCTCAGAACAAAACCATTTCTCCCAGTATCTGAAAAAATAAGTTTTAGAAGATCCAGTTTACCTACTTTAAAAAAGGATTTTCAAAGTCCAAGCATCCTATTTCAGCCCCGTGGCTGCAGGCTTCAGCCCTATGGGAGCATCGGGGCTTGTGGCTCTGAGCTTTAGCCCCGCAGGTCCTGGCTTTAGCTCCACAGGGGGTGCCTGGGCATGGGGCTCCAGGATTCAGCCAACAGCTCCAGGCTTTAGCTTCACAGGAAGCACTGGGGCTTGGGGCACCATTCACGGGGCCCTGCGACCCGCCTGAAGCAGCACACGACCCCCCACCCTTGTTGAGAACCAATGGTTTACACTTCAGGGCAGATTTTTAAAGAATCATAGAAATGTAGGGCTGGAAGGGACCTTGAGAGATCAAAGTCCAGTCCCTGCACTGAGGCAGGATCAAGTAACCCTAGCCCAGTGGTCCCCAAACTTTTTATACTCCCCCCCCCAGAACCTGACGGGAACCCAGGTCAGGGCTGGGACCATAGGCACTGCAGGGCTGGGCAATACTCCCCCCTTCCCCTCCATTCCCCCTGAACGTTCCTCTGCACCATCCTGGGGCGGGGGGCCCTGCACCAAACAATTTGGGGACCACTGCCTTAGACCATCCCTTACAGGTAGTTTTCCAACCTAGTCTTAAAAACCTCCAATGATGGGGATTCCAAAACCTCCCTAAGCTTATTACAGAGCTTAAGTACTTTCATTAGGAAGAACTTTCTACATATATCAAACCTATATCTCCCATGCTGCAGATTAAGCCCTATCTTCTTGTCCTACCTTTAGTGGACATGGAGAACAACTGACCACAGTCCTTTTTAAAACAGCCCTTAACATATTTAAAGACTTATCAGGTCCCTCCTCAGTCTTCTTTTCTTAGGAGTATACATGCCCAGTTTTGTTTTGTTTTTTAACCTTTCCTCATAGGTCAGGGTTTCTGAACACCTTTTATCATTTTTGTTGATCTCCTCTGGACTCAGTGTTCCCTTTAATTTTTTCCATCCATTAGCAGAATGAATTTTGTTATGTGCAGCATCAATATCAAGGTAATGTGCAGATGTGCACCAGCAATAGACACAAAAAACCTATATTTTTTAAGTTACCAATGGTACATGTGAAGGGGATCGTAAAGATTTCCTGGAATTTGACATTTAGGGCCAAATCCTCTGCTGGTGTACTGCCACCAGGATGTCACTGGAACTACTTCGATTTACAGTAGCTGAGGATTTGGCCCTTCAAGTGTATAATATTAGACCAGCTTCCTTATCACTATTGCAAATGCATAGACTGAAGTCTTATGCACATAACAGGCTTTTCTGAAGGGCAGAAAACAATAAAATTCTATAATGTGCAACCCATATTTCAGGTTGCAGTTCCCTTTGCTCAGAATTTAATTTAGTGGCTGGCCGTGCACAGCTGAACCTAAACTGATTCCTCACCCAAAGGAAATGAAAAATCTATGGTGTCTGGAAGGTATTTTTTCTTTGGCTAAAGGTAGTTAATTTGTGGTATTTCAGTTTTGTATAAATCTTGGTTTAGGATGTGGCTCAGACTCAATAAGGTATACATTTTTGGGAGATAAAATACTGCTTATCCCCTTAAATCACGTGTAAACAGAGGCACTGCAGAACAAAGAACAGAAACATTTAATTGCTGTAATTCAGGATCTCCCTTAGGGAAAAAAAGAGATTTCATGTAAATTACCCAATTCCTATCTTCATGGTTCCTGTCTGACCTATAAAACAGGTTATTAGATTACTGTAGGCGCCGCTCAGATGAAAGAAAGCACGGAGGGAGGTGTGTGAGTGTGTGTGTTTAACTTAACTGAAACAATATATATGTGTTCTGTAATCCACAACTGAACACCCTAAATTCTGTCAGTCGCAAAATTGCGTGGTAGAAATATTTAACAAACACCACACGTGCAATGCACATTATTGATATATTCCTACGTCGGTGCTGCCAGATCTGAAATGTGTAACGTCTGGAGGCCTGGCTGCCTATACAAAGGAATAGTGCTACTCAGGATAATTTATTGGGGAACTACAGAAAAGTGAAAGCGAGAAAAATGCCTGCCTGAGCTGGCTGGGGTTTATGTGGTGACAGGTTGGCATGTGTGTGTTTAGAAGGAAACTTGGACATCTCTCAGAGGTGAAGCACTCTCCATCTGGAGAAAGTGCCCGGGAGATTTGATAGCGCAAGTGACCAGGAATGGACCGTTTGTCTGTAATAAGGGAACCCAGCAGGGTCCTGGACACAGGATTAGGAGAGCCCAGCAGAGGGGGGTCCTGTACGATTTATCTTACATCTGTTATTGTGATATCCAGAGAGATCGGGTGCCAAGGAGGATGCTGCAGGGCAGAGGCAAAGCAGAGATTTTGTGTGTGCGTCTCTGCTGCGGGTGTTAGCACTTTCTGAGAGCGAGCTTGGTGGAGCTGTGTGTGGGTGCGCTCCTGTATGGGTGCAGTCAGGAGCCTTAGAGGGCAGAAGGGACTCTGTAGGGGAGAGGCCTCTCTCCCGTCCCCACC